ATGTGGAGGGGTGAGATGACCTAAATATAGTATTACTGCATCCTCTGTCTCGCAAAAGTGCATTACATAACCTGATTAATCCGCTAAACTGCACAGCAGTTCCTCTGGCTTTAATCAAGGAAAGTGAGAGTGACGAGGCTCAGCACCCCTAACCCCCGCCTGAGACACAATATTCTCCCAGTCACTCCATCTAAGATTCATCTTAAAGCTACCATCTCATTTAAATCTCGGCTTTCAAAGCGCCCACGTTCCACCCACAGAGCATTGCGGTGACGTGGTTTAACACGGTTACTTCGTATTTAGGTGAAGAACGTAGGCTGAAATCTCGACCCGGAGATCGGATATCCTGACTAAGTTCTTCGGTAGTGTTCCTCGGTCTCGCCAGGTCAAATCCGTATTAGTACCTGGTTCATCCTGGTCCATCACATTAGCAATCGTATAAAAATTATTAACGCCGTCCAGTGTGATTGAAAAATGTGTTTATTTAATCTTTCGTCCTTTACATGTTTCGGTCGGAGCGACCAGCTTCAGAAGGACATTATCAATACAGACACTACTATTACAATGTCATTGGTCATTATCAATGCTTACAGACACTACTATTACACTGTCATTGGTCATTATCAATGCTTACAGACACTACTATTACAATTCCATAGATATAAAATATTATCCTGTAACAATTACTATGATGTGCATGAATCTGTTAAAACATTTATAAATTACTATAATTAGTCTATTTGCAAGAGAAGAAGTATAAAGGACACGAACCAAAATGGTTGTAGATTTTAACAAAAAGTTCTTTAAACAATAATTTGTGAACAGACTAATTATAATAATTTATAAATGTTTTAACAGATTCATGCACATCGTAGTAATTGTTACAGGATAATATTTTATACCTATGACATTGTAATGCCGGTCACGGAAGCCGAGGGGTCTAAGGCGTGCACTGTCTTCGCTCGCTCGGAAGCCGGGATCATGGGTTCGAATTCCACCCAGGGCATGGATGTTTGTGTGCGTTTTTCTGTGTTTGTCTACAGGTAGAGGCCTTGCGACGAGCTGATCACTCGCCCAAGGAGTCCTACCGCATGTGTAAGATCTAGTAAACCGAAGTGAAACGGAGAGTTTCATGGAGGTAGGCCTAGGCCCAAATTGGGGCTGTAGCGCCACAGAAAAAAAAAGACATTGCAATAGTAGTTTCCGCGTGCCTTGATAATGTCCTTCTGAAGATGGTCTCTACGACTTAACATGTAAAGGATAAAAGATTAAAAAACACAATATTTATGAATCACACTGGACGGCGTTAATAATCTTTTATATCAGAATAATACCTCAAATAGGTCACGACCGCTTCCTTCTAAATCATTATTCCCATCACGTGATATGATCTGGGCTAATGACACCGTCGTGAAATAAATAAATACTCGCCTGCCATAGCCACCTTAAATGTCCTGCATACTGCATCCTCCTAGACTTCACTATAAAATCATTAGGCCTACTACGTGACTACACGACGAGAGAAAAACTCCTGAAGGCATCGAGAGGTTATTTCTTTAGGGGGCTGCAAGAACTGCACAAGCTGTGTAGAGTCCGACTGAAGGATGGATATGAATTACCAATTTTATTCACTCTTGGTGGCCGTGCAGTGCACGAAATGCCTTAGCTGGGTCATACGCTACGATCGTTGAGTTCTAATCTAACTCGAGATATTGATGCCTGTCTGCGTTTATTCTGTGTTGTTCTGCGGAGACAGCTGCCTTGCGATGGACGGATAACCCGTTCAAGAATAATAATTTCACAATTAATTCTGAATGCGAACAGGCCGGAGGGCCTAATCCGTCAAGGCAGAAGAAGAAGATTCATTCTTAGTTTATTTAACGACCTTCCAAATGACCCAGATTATACATCGTCGAATGATAGGACAATTCGCGAAGGAAGCGGTCGTGACCTAACTTGAGATACTAACTGGCTGCGAGCTGAATGGCCGAGGAGTCGGAGTTCGAGTCCAGGTAGGGTCAAGATTTTTATCTTCTGCACGCCGTCCAGACCGGTTGTGCGGCCCATCCAGCCTCCTATGTAATCGGTACAGGGGGTAAAACGGCTGGAGTGTGAAGCTAACCACTCATCTACAACTAGTACCGACGTCAAGATTGCGTAGATCTACATATACATAAACCCGTCCATATATCTTCATGGCGTAGTGCTTAAGTAGTTATGCATAGGGGAAGCTTTACTCTTACCATTATCACGGAATTTACGTGAAGGAACTGAGAAACACGACGAAAAAAATTCAGTTAGAATATCCGGTGTACAGGAGAACAATGGAGATTGGGACTTCCAAATAGAAAGCGGGATTGTGATGATCCTCTGGGAAAGAGTAGTTATCGATTGATTTGGGAATTCACGCTGACAGAGAGTTAACCATCGAATCCAATAAGTGACTATCTTCTTATGGCCCCGAGAGACATTCAGTTTCTTACTAGTCTTGAAGGTTTTATTGGTAAAGTATATGATGGAAGTGCTAATGAGTTTAGTCTATCGGCAATTTTACAAGCAAATATTAGTTCTGAAACTGGCACTTGTAATTGGTTGCAAGCATTTGGATTATCATTCGATTATGGAATTACATTTCGGCACAAAACCTCTTCACTGATCATAATGCTTCCTCTAAACTTTACATAGATTCAGACAAACTGTTAGGAAAGTGAAGACGGAAAGAATTTTGCTAGGCCAGAAATTAAGATTAATTCGACCTAGGAAAAACTGTCGAAGACAATGAAATATAATACTCGTATATGTCTATTTGGTGAAGGGTATAAATTATGAAGCCGGTCACGGTAGCCGAGCGGTCTAAGGCATGCACTGTCTTCGCTCACTCGGAAGCCGGGATCGTGGGTTTGAATCCCACTCAGGGCATGGATGTTTGTGNGCCTTGCGACGAGCTGATCACCCGCCCAAGGAGTCCTACCGTATGTGTCAGATCTAGAAAAACCGAAGTGAACGGAGTTCATGGAGGTAGGCATAGGCCCACTGGGGCTGTAGTGCCAAGGAAAAAAAAATAAATTATGAAACTCCTCGTTATGAAGCCTTCTCAAGCTTCCTCTGACTTACTCCTTCTTAGATTCAAACGCTCTTTTCAGCACTTTCTTCGAAACATCCTAAATCTGTGTTTTAACTTTCAGATGAGAGACTAAATTTAAACTAAGACAAAATTATTTTTAAAAACGTCCGTCCGACGCAACCACGTTCTTAGTACTTGGTAGTTATAAGGGTCTGCATCACACATACACGCTTCAGGATTACAAAACCATACAGCTCAAGCACCAGTCACTAAATATCATTACAGTTATTAAGTCAATGAGGATAGGTGGGGCAGGGAATGCACCATATCATGCAAGACAGAAATACGAAATCCATCTCGAATTTTAATCCAGAAACTTGAAGGAAATATCCGACTTTGGGCAATAATATTTTCACGTGTATTAGGGACTACTGACGGGGTATAGGATATCTCGGCTCCCGGCTCCACACTATGGAGCCTCGTACAGGAATATCGACGTTTGAAACCTCACAGACTCACATCTGGTCTCTGTTCTCGGTTCGGGGGCGCGGGGCACGAGAATGAAAGGAATGAAATATTCAAGAGCTGATACAGCGGCTATACAGACATCGGATACAATATATTCACCGTCGTTATTTTTAATTATAATTTTTTTCATTAACAATTAGTAGAAATAACATTATGTATATTTCTAGCAGTAGCTATATTTCAGGTTTCGTAAATCAATTAGCATTTTTAATGCTTTTTATTGTATGAAGTTAACTATAAATGTCGCCACCTTTCGCTCAGCCCCTTTTTTCTTATTACCTGCATGTTACGTATTAAATAATACTGAAAGGCCAATTGGCTCTCCAGCCCGGGGGTTGGGCGTGGGGTTAACAACTCCTCACCGTAAAAAAATTATTATGTTACGAAAATGAACACAAAGCCTCGGACCTGGACGGATTCCTTGGATAAACTACCTAGGCTAGTGAAAATAGACCACTAGGAAGACCAAGGCGTAGGTGGGTAGACAATATTAGAATGGATCTTAGAGACATAGGATGGGATGGTATGGATTGAATAGATCTAGCTCAGGATAGGGACCAGTGGAGGGCTCTTGTGAACACGTTAATGAATCTTCGGGTTCCATAAGATGCTGGGAAATTCTTGAGTAGCTGCAGAATTGGCGGCTCCTCCAGAAGGGCTCAGACCCATGAGTAAGTAAGTACGTAAGTAAGTAAGTAAGATAGGCCAATTGAATGAATATGAATATAGATCCAGAGGTCCGGGTTCGATTCCAGGCGCAACCAGATTTTCTGAGAAGTACTGGATCTGGAACGGGGTCCACTCAGCNGAGCTATGGCGCGGCCAAGCCTCGTGAGGATAACTGAGGAGCTATTTCAAGGAAAGAGCGGCTCAGGTCTTGAAAACCGAAATTAACGGCCGTGGGGATCTGTTGCGCTGACCACGCGACCTCTATCCGCTAAAATTGTCACTAACTTCGCCGACAAGCGGCGGTTTCTCGGTCTGTAGTTCGCTTGCGGAATAAAGCCACGGAGTTTGTTTTATATATATATAGTATGTATATACATATAAATATATATATATATATTTATCAATTAGAGCGCTACTTGGGTCATAAGGAAACTGTGTGCATCACTAACGGGAAGGCACTGTATAAAAATCGAACACTCAGGGCCAATGAGCAAAATTGCTTCACGTGAAGTTACAAAAAGTAAACTGATGCAGTACAATAATCTGTTTCCGATTTGTTTAACTATTACTGTAGCAAGTCTAAATCAATCGAATTTCACGGCGAGTGTGAGTGAACAGAAAAAGCACAAACTTCAGCACAACACAACAAATGACAGTCTAATTACACATGACTACATAGAAAGCTTAAGAAACAGAAACCGGCACGATCAGATCACAAACTCCAGAACATTCTTCCTACCTCTGGCAGATAATTTCTTGGTGTTGATGATCTTGGCTGCAAACTCGGATCCTGTTGATTTTTGTACACATCTTCGCACCACTGAGAAAGCACCCCTGAAAAGAAAGAACGAACACATTAGTTTCGGCAGAATAATGATGTAATTATACATTTGCGACGTTCGTAATTCTCAACTGCAGCAAATTACCGTGATGGATGACGGCCATACAACAAACTTCCGCCCTAATAAAAATATTCAGGACAGCCACAAGTCACAAACCAATAAAACCATAAGAAAACCATGCCGGCCGAGCGATCGCCGATTGTCGGCGAAGTTAGTGCCAACTTTAGCGGATAGAGGGTGTCAAGTGGTCAGCGCAACGAATCATCACGGCCGTTAATTTCAGTTTTCTAGACCGGAGCCTCTATTTCCTTGAAATAGCTCCTCAATTATCCTCACGAGGCTGAGTCGACCCCGTTCCAGACGCACCACTTCTCAGAAAATCTGGTAGCGCCGGGAATTGAACCCGGGACCTCTGGATCTGTAGCCAGGAACTCTAACCACTAGACCACAGAGGCGGCCATATGCAGCTCAAGGATACTCAAAAACATAACCTAAATTCCGAAGCAACTACATAAGAAGGGCAGCAGATTCCCCATCACAACAGCCTGTACACCTGATGATGGCCAGTTAGGCCGAAACATGTAGCGGCAGCAAAGAGAAAACAAGGGGAGGATATTAACCGACGTTGCACATAGACGGCAAAAAAGCGGAACGCAAAGTCAGCTCACTGGTTTGTCTGCTCGCCTATCCGTGGCAATTTGCACGTCGCTACTCTGCTTATGCACAGCTCTTGCAACAAAAATACATTAAAACCCTGATACATATAACGATGTATCACACACTGCACATCCTCACCCCATGTGGGATGCGGTGTCGGTAGTGCTGTTGCGACATGGCGTCAGGCCTATCACCACGTATCTTATGCATGACAAGATAATTCAGACCTCCTGAAGGTAAATGTGACAGTACTTTAAAACAAGTCATCACCTCTACAAAAATAATTCTTATTTCATGGTGTATTATGACAACTTTAGCGGATACAGAGTGTCGCGTGGTCAGTGCAACGAATCCCCATGACCATTAATCTCGGTTTTCTAGACCGGAGCCGCTATTTCCGTGAAATAGGTCCTCAGTTACCCTCATGAAGCTGAGTGGACTACATTCCAGACCCACTACCTCTCAGAAAATCTGGTAGCGCCGGGAATCGAACCCGAGACCGCTGGATCTGTAACCAGGAAGTCTGACAACTAGACCACAGAGGCAGCACTAACTTCTCCGACAAACGGCGGTCGCTCGGTCGGTATAGTTCGCTTGCGGACTAAAACCAAGGAGTTTGTTTTTTAGTTTTGATGTAGATTGTAGCTAATCCTTCTCCCTGGAAAGATAAATGAGAAGGTAGCCAGAGTCGTATTATGTTTGGAAAAGGAAGGGGGGAGGGGAAGTAAACGGCGCTGCTTTGATCTCGAGGTTTTGGTTTTCTTCTAAGGCACAGAATAAGAACATGAAATTAGAGAGGGAGGGAAGGTAAAGAGAACCCAATAATTTCTCTGAATCCCTTGTTATTGATTCAATTCCCAGCTCACCTCCACTCCTTTCTCCAATCCAGGAACTCGCACCGAGGATCTAGGTAACGGGATTGGCCTTTCGATCACGTTTATATCGATAATGCAGATTACTCTCAATTGAAGTTCAATGAATTCATTGTGAATATTAATTGTAATTGAAATAATGGTTAACTTGGGACGCCATGGTACACTATAATTCTACCGAATTGCCAACAGTATTTCTGCCACCTTACTTCAAGTAAGGAATTATAATGAAGACATTTAAGACGAAATCCATAATAGAGGAGCAATGGCTCCTCATAGAAGAAGCAAGGTTCAATTCCAGAGAGGGTCATATAAGATCTTTTCTTTTCTTTTTTTGTGGACGAACTGGCAATGAAACAGATTTTTCTGCGAGAACTTCGGTGTTTATCACTCATAACACCATAAATGATTATATAAAATTTTCATCCCTTATCAGGTATTGGACAGGTCTGACCAACAGAAAAGTTTATCACAAGTTCCGATTCTGTTCTTCTGGGATGTGACACCGTGAAGTCACGTAGGCGGACAGATATTTCTGAGAGCTGTGTTGCTTTCAGCTTCAGGATTCACACGTATAGCGTCAGGAATCGGATGATTTCTACAGGCAGGTTCGAAGAAAGATAGCCAGAAACACAGGACAGGACGAGTCCGGTCCGGGCCAATAGGAAGAATTCTCTTGCTTTCCTCCCCTACCCCGCGACCATGGGACAGTCAACCTGTCCGCCTTTTCTCAATGACCGGACTGGACTCTTACACCTGCCTTCCTCCAGCGTGTCTGAGTAACCTCTTTGCTTGTAACCCGCGTATATGAAAAGTAAAGTTGTCCCTGCGCTTAATTAAGCACTACGCCATGAAAGCGTATGGGGGAGTGGATGTATAGATCCACGTTTTCTTGACCTCGGTACTAGTTGGAAATGAGCTATCAGATTCATGTCCCAGCCAGTACTCATTGGATAGGAGGTTGGGTGGGCCCCAGAGCCGGTCTGAACGCTGTGGAGAAGAGAAAATTGTTGACCATAACGGGACTCGAACTCCGACCTGCGCTATCCCGATTCCTAACCTGCGTATATAACCCAATCGATTCCTTGCGATGCATGCGAAGCGTCATGTTGCTCCCATACGTCGGTATCCTCCTGCAAGGCTGTGTAGTTTCGCAACCCTAAACGGGCACCGCTGTGATAACGTCAAAATTTCTAACACAACTTCGTTTGCTAATTGCATGGGAATAGGAGAAAGAAAATAGCATCGTAAACAAAAAGAAGAGAAGCCCCAGGCAACGTATTTGAACATAAGCTCTTTCAAATAAGGGAAAAATTGGGGAGGGAAGAATAAGTGAGAATTTATTATTCGTATTACGAGTACTTAGGAATTTTAAACAAGAGGTCACGCTTGTATTGTGATATGCCTAACGCTCAGACCTCTTCGGAATTGGCAATCAGAAACCAGGTTCAGAGAAGGTATAAAGTACTATAATGAATTTTTGGGAAACAGCCGATGATGATAGCATTCGATTAATTTCAGGCACAGTGGTGCATCGTTGTGTTTAAAATCGTTGCATAAAATCGATTATGTGTGGGAGACAGGTACTCTTCTCCTAGTAGAATTAGAATGATCAAGTCAAGGATGGTGAGATGGGCAGGGCATGTGGCACGATTGGGGGAGAAGAGGAATGCATATAGGATATTGGTGGGAAAGACAGAAGAAAAGAGACCACTGGGAAGACCAAGAGGTAGGTGGGTGGACAATATTAAAATGGATTTCAGAGAGACAGGATGTAATGCTAAGGATTGGATTGATCTGGCTCAGGATAGGGGCAAGCGGAGGGCTCTTGTGAACATGGTAATGAACCTTTGGGTTCCATAAAATGCTGTGAAGTTATTGAGTAGCTGCAGAATTGGCAGCCTCTCAAGAAAAGCTCAGCTCCATGAGTGAGTGTGTGATTGAGGGGGAGACAGGGAAATAAGCTTCCTGTGTGGACTCGAACTGTGTGCGGCTGAGACCCAGAAGTTCGGCTTGCATTCTGTCCATATATCCAAACCCCAATCTTCTACAGACAGATCTATAAGAGTCTAATTGTAAATTAAAAACAGCCCGCACAAATCTCCCGTTTCACCTAGCGTGCGCTTCCAGATCCTGTACTGAACGTAGGTTGCTCTGGAGGACAAAGGTAAAGCAAACAAAGTTACTCCTGTGCTTACTTAATCAAGCGCCATGCGACGAAGACGCATGGGAGAGTGCAGGTACAGCTCCACCATTCTTCACCTCGGCGCTAGATGGATGTAAGTGGTCAGGTTCACGCCACTGGCCGCTATCCCTTGGTACCCATTGGGTAGAGGCTGGGTGGGCCCCAGATCCGGTCCGGACGCTCTGGGCCGGAGAAAAATCTCTTGGCTTTGCCGGGAATAGAACCTCGGCCATCCAGCCTGTAGCCCGTCGTTATACTGGCTGAGATTACGGAGTTTTTATGCTCATTACCAGAACCGAAAATATGGAGGGGCAGATAGGGCAGATACTGAGGACATAGTCGACAAGAGGAGCGCACTGACCTCTGGCAAGAAATTTTTCCTTAAATATAAATAATCATTAATTGCCTTTAGTTTGAAAGGAACTGCGAATTAAGTGAAAGCACTTCCACAAGAATTGAAGTAAAGTGTTTGTTCTTCTGTTCAAACAAGTGGAGGACAGCGAACGCGGATCCCCGAGCCTTAGCAGGGGAGTTCTGCCCGAGAGTTAGGACAAATGAGATGTTCTTACTAATTATACTCTAGAATGAAAATAAAATGGGAGAGAGAAGAATATACCAAATGTGGGAATATGAATATAAAGAGTGTCTGGCTTGGTGCATTCTGTAAAATGAAAGCATGCGCAGAAAGAGCCATAAAAGATTCATGCTCCACGTGCGAAGTGCACGACAAAGCCAAACAGCCTGATATTACCACAGTTTGTAGTGAAGTGATAAACGGTGGGGGGGGGCGACTTCAAAAACGAAAGAAATGGCACAACTACCAGGAAGAAACCGTAAGACTATGTTTTGTCTTATGGACAGGAAATTGCTTATGGGTCATTGTGAAGTCATCCAGAGAGGTCGCTCACAATTTTTAAAAAATTTCAAAATTTGTACACTTATTTCTACACATTTTCACACCTCAAAAATATTTTTTAAAAAATTGTAATCCGCTCGGTTCTCCCGGTACAGCCGTTTTTATAATGCGAAAAACCGCGTTTTCGGCTCAAATGGAGGTTTGCGTTATCTTCTCTATCTCGATAACTATTCAAGCTAGAGACTCCAATGAAAAGCCAATTTGTTCCGCATGATATGGACAACGAATCATATCATTACAAGGTTTTACTCAACTCACTTCCTCTAGGTCTAATTAAGCTCGAAACTTGCCTATCGATTTTGGGAAAAACGCTATTTTTCGCCTTCAAAAACCAATGGGAGGGGGAAAGTATCAGATCTGTG